GGCAGTCTTCCAGAGGGGATGCAGATGTCAGCCCTGGCACATAAGGTGAGGGTCAGCCTGGAGAGGAGTCATAGCCAGGATGCCATGCCATTCAAAACAGCCTAGAAAGTTCCTTCATAACCTGTTAGAATCACTAGGACTTCTTCCTGGGGGAAGAGGTAGGTGTAGGGATACTGATTTCATTGGTCTGGGGTGGAACCTGGACTCTGGTATCTTAAGATGTTTATTCCCCAAGTAGTTCTAATGTAATTTGGTCCCAAGGGTTGAAGACTATTAGCTTAGACAGTGTTCTTTAATATATTTTTGGAGGAGAGGGTGGCAGAAAAGGTATTAAAACACTTTCCTCCATTGTCCACACCTCCTCTTCTGTCACTATCTTAGAGAAGGGGCAGTGCTGGTAGTTTTAAAATCTGACTCTGATACTCCCAACTGGCCATGAAGAATTCTTGGTGGGAAGAGCTCAAGAGCCTGCAGTAACATTCTTCATTATGTACTATCAGTTACATCCAAAAAAACAAATACAACTAATACGTAAGTTTAGCAGAATAATAATGGAAGACCCCAGAACCCAATTGAAATCCTAGACCTCATTAAATAACACAGTTGCTGTTACTGGTTCTCCCTCCTCCAGGGGTGGGCATTGCTAACAAGCAGGTGGTCCCGGCACTTCCAGAAACCCACATTCTGGGTCTGGGGAGGGTAGGGCTGTGCAGGTTGGGCGGGTATGGGGGAGGCAGGGAGGAGGATCAGGTGACCCAGCTGTTCTTGGGATTTAGAGCCCAGAGAGCCAGGCAGAGCCTGCCACTGCCTTGGACAGAGGCAAAGGCCCAAGAGGCTTTTGTTAAAGAAGTGCTGGAGAAATCCCCTTAGACCCAGGACAATGGAGACCCAGATGCTCTCAGAAAGGCCAGGCTTTCATTGGTTTTGTTTTTCCAGCCCTGGCTGCCGCGGTCACATTGACAAGCAAGCAATAGGCGAGGGCAGCGGAGTTCAAGGCCCAGCAGATCTGTCAGACTAGAACAAAAAGGTGCAACTTGATCTCTCTTTCTCTCTAGGCTAATCGCTTGGGTGAGCTTTTCCTTGGGATTATTATTCTATTACAAACCAGATGCTTAGAATGAATCAACTGCTACCTTTCTTAGAAGGTACAAAGTAGGTCAGAGGCGTCTGTCAGGGCGCACGGCCCCTGCACGAGCCTCCGGCTGTGTGAATAATTAATCCACGGCCCAGGGATGATGTTGCAACAGGAGAGCTCTTCCTCCCTCAGGGGAGCATCAGGGAGGACTGAGGAGGCCAAACACCAGGCCGCAGGAGCACAAACAAGAAGGGAGCCCAGGAGCGGGTGGGGTGCAGGGCAAGAAACCAGTTCTTGGGAGGCAGGGAGGGCTGAGGCAGGACTCTGGCAGGGCATAATGAAGGGGTCCAGGAGATCTGGGTTCAGGGGCTGTGTTCCAAAACAGGGGCTCAATACCAGGCTGGGACATAAGGACTAGGTCTGCGTAGGGGGTGGACATAACAAGGGCCAGCTTAGGTGACCCCAGCAGCAAGGGGGACTTGAGGTCTATGAGCACTTTGGTTCCCACATCAAGGGCCTCGCATGGCTTGGGGGTGCCTAAGGTAGCTCGAGCCTGCAGGAGAAACTGGGAGAGATGAGACCATGAACGCCACAGGGGTCTGTGTGCCTTCCTGGGGCACCTGCTCTCATGGAGAAGCCTGGGAAAGACCAGGTGGTGGGTACCACTTTGCTCTAAGAGGCATGTTCAAAAGTCTTCATTGGCTATAAATAGCCAAAGACTCTCAGGGGAAACCTGGTCACCACTGGCTAATGAGACCACAGCAGATGACAATGTAGAAAATAAGATAAAGAAGGCAAAGAGGCTGGCAGACAGCGGTGTGACAGCCTCGTAGCTGGCTAGAGACTAAAGGTCTCTCAGTGGGGACAGTAACCAGCAAGCTACAATTTCTAGTGCCACAACTGAGGATGAACCCCAGCATGGACTGGTGCAGCTATCAGGCTTTTGCTGATGGTAAATACTGGAACCTCTCTTAGCCTAGTGCTGAGACTGAAAGTTGTTGCAACCCTTTGGAGATGCATTTGGTAGTATCTCGTCAAACTGAACACATGTGCCCCCTAGGACCCAGCAATGCTACTCCCGGGAATTTGCCCACAGAATGTGCACATACGAGGTCCCAGCAGACACAGACTAGGTAGTGCACAGCAGTGTGCTGCAGCCCCCCAAGTGTCCCCGGGCAGCAGAACAGGTACGTCACACTATCAATACCACAGAGCCATAAGGGGAAGGAAGAACAACCTAGATAAATTTCACAATAATGTTGAGCAAAAGAAACCAACCCCGGGGCCCAATATACTTGATTTCATTTATTAAACAGTGAAAACCAATCTCTGGTGGATATACAAATACCGTTGACTTCCACACTTTAAGTGACTTTTATGATGTGCAAATTATATCCATTTAAACTACTATTTAAAGAATAGCCATAGTTACAATATCCATAGTGTTAAAGAATATCCATAGTGTTATCCCTGGTGAGGAGGCACAGGGAGGGGCTTGTTACCAGGGGGTGTTCAGCTGTGACAATTGTGTATTTTACAATTTGTGTACTTCTCTGTAAATAGGCCACTCTTCAATAAAAACAACAATTACAATAACCACAACCAATCAGGCCTGCTTGGCTCTGGGGCTAGTGTGGCAAGCTGGACAAGTTCACTCACTCCGGAGAGGCCTTGGCTGCCACCGGGTCCTGCAAGAGGCCCTGAGCCTCTTGCACCTGCGAAACATCACTTGCAGGGCCCAGGGGAATGTGCAGAGGTGGGAGTAGGGATGGTCCACCTGCCGCCTCCCTTTGCTAGAGTGCAGGGAGGGGGAACCCCAGATGCCAGAGGACTAAACATCAGTGAATGCTGAGCCACAAGAACCATGAGTCCTCACAGCATGGCCTGTCAGGCATCTGGACGGGGGAGGGGGATGTCCTCAAAGAGACCATAAGGACCATCTGTCTGGGGCCTCCCTGGTGGCGCAAGGGGTTAAGTAAGATGCATCCTATGAAGCTATCCGCAGCCACTGCAGCATGAGTTTGGTCCCCGGCCAGGGAGCTACCCACATGGTGCAGCAGACCTCTCCTATCTCACCTGATGCTCCCTTCAGCAGTGTATTTCAGTGATTCCTCCTGTTCTGTTCCCCACTCTGTCTCTGGTGAATCCTCTCACCCCCCTGCACCTCTGGCCTACACCCCAGTTCTTGTGTGCATGAATAAATAAATCTTTATAAAAAAAATACCATCTGTCTGAGGTGGGCCTGCCCATAGAGCTGTGACCCCCAAGGCCTCTGCTGGTCCAGGCTGCCCTGGCCAGGCATCTCAGAAGAGAGTTTGAGGAACCCCATCAGTCACTGCCTAACAGTGGGAACAGTTGACTCCTCAGGAAGATGGGCTAGGGGAGAGCCCTGAACATGCGAGAGGCTTCTGAGAGCCCTGGGTAGAACAGAGGTGGGATTTTAGGGTGCAGGGCCATTGGGGAATTTGAGACTGTGGATCAAATTAGGACACAGTAGTGGAGACACTGGGTCAGGAGCTGGTGGGTCCCTTTCACCCTAGGAGCATTAGAGGCCAAGTCCTTTGTAAGTCAGAGTGCACATGGGGTGCTGTGCTGATGACAAGGTTAGGGATATGGGGACCTTGAGATCATTCAATTTTGCATTCAAAAAATTCTTGCCAGGTGAGTTAATGCACTGCTAGGTGGAGACGCACATGGAAAAGCACCATCCACTCATTCATGCAACACCCTATTCTAGATTCAGGTCAGTGCCAGGCACTGGGAAAGCAGCAGAATATAATGAGCCCTTGAGGATGCCAGCCCTTAAGGAACTGTGGTCTGGTGTCCAGGGAGAGACCGGCAAGTGACAGTTAATTATAATGCCAAGGGATGACAGCAATGGCAGAGTTCTAGAACACAGAGGATAGGTAAAAGCACCCAGTTGTGTCTCTTGCAAAATGTAATTTCCTCCTAGTTCATTTGTTTCACAGTCAGGTACAACAGCTAAAGCTCAGCCCGACCTGGTAATTGCAAGGTATTGTCCATGATAACATCGTCTACAGAGAGAACCCTTCACTGGTATTTTTCAAGCTGTTTTTTTTTTAAAATGAACAGGCTAGTAGAGACAACAGAAGACAGCAAGCTATGTCTGTTTCATAATTTCTACCACTAAAATCATCTAAAAGAGGCATATAGGGCCTCCCCAGTGGCGCAGTGGTTGAGCGCTGGGTTGCGAAGCTGCCCTCAGCCTCTGCAGTGCCGGTTCGATCCCCGGCTGCTCCCCGGCCCCCGGGCGAGGGTCCCACATGGTGCGCAGACCTCTCCTGCCGCCTGCTGCTCCCCTCAGCAGTGTACTTCGGTCCTTCTGCCTGTTCTGCTCCCTGCTCTGGCTCTGGTGAATTCTCTTACCCTCCCGCGCTTCTGGCTGTACCCAGTGCTTGTATAAATAAATAAATCTTAAAAAAAAAAAAAAAAGAATCTTTAAAAAAAAAAGAGGCTTATATATTTTTCAGCATCTTTGGGGAATTAATTTAGTTTATCCTATACAAAGGAGTCCATTCCATCATCAGACCAACCTCCGCCACCCCAACACACACACACATACACACTGAGGCGGTATGTGCACAAACCCCACCAGTTAATTCTCTTTCTCCTATAGGTCTGTATTACATGACATAAAAATATTTGAAAAAAACAAAACACCAGTTACCACCAGGGTGTGTGGTTAAGTGATGTGATCAGCAAAGTGAGCCTAAATGCCTCCTTTTCCACAACCATGGAAACCTATGACGTTCTGCCTGGAATTCCCTATTTAGCCGCCAGCATCCCCTCAAGAGCACCCTTGTCCTTTTAGCCACTCAGTGAGGCGCTCTGCTCACGAGAGTCTGTCTAGTGAAGGCCCAGAAACAGAAGGCGAGGGAGAAGGCACCCTGGGCAATGGTATTACCTTGGTCCCATGGTAGAAGTCGTCCACACACGTGGCATTCATGAAGGTCTGGTGGAAGTGGGTGCTGGTGTCGATGCCTCCAGGGATCACCAGCTTCCCGGTGGCATCGATCACCTTGGCCCCTCCTGGGATCATGAGCTCCCGGCCCACCTGCTGGATGATGCCATTTTCAATGTAGACATCAGCCTCGTGGGTACAGTCATCATTCACCACCTTGCCTCCCTTGATGAGAATTCGCACGCTGGCTGAATTGGCAAGCATGTTCCTGTGGAAGGTGAAAGAGGGGCAATGTTCAAGGTCAAAGTTGCTTTTCAAGGCCATCCAAGTCCCACCCCTCCCCATCAGAGACCAAACATCTTGGGTAGAATAAGGGAAATGGAATGAGGAGGACACCAGCTCTCGAGCCAGCTGGGACCCCAAGCCTCCCATGACCTCGCAGTGGGAATCGCGACACAGAGGAGGTGATAGGTAAAGCTGCAGCCCCCCGAAACACAGATGTTTTACTTTCCCGAAATGCCGTGAAGGTTCTAAGATTTGTTCCTATATTTACTGTCTTGTATTATTCCTGAAACAACCCATCGAATGGTATTTTACAAATGAGAAAGCTGAAATTGCTAAGTAGGGAATTTATGGCTGCTAAGTAGCCGAGTCAAACCCAGATGTCTTGTATGACCGATGTCCTCACTGCACCATGTGGTCCTGAAGCTATCAGAGGCTCATGGGGTGTGGCACAGAGAGCAATATTCTCCAAGCCCCACAGCTGTTTCATTCATGTCTTCTTCAGGTGGATTATGCTTCAGTTCACCCTCCTGTGTTTGCCTCAAGGAGTCCATGTCCATAGCTGGCTGCACACTGATAAACTCTCATGAGTTTACCTGAGGGGATTTTGAAAAAGACCTATTTTCAAGCCCCACTCAGGATTCAGATTTACTTGCTCCAGATTGATTTTCCAGAATCAGTATTTTTTAAAAGTTGGAGAATTCTACCATACGTGTACGGAAGAATTGACATCATTCTCTTCCAGAAAACAAAGAGAAGGAAACATTCCCAATTCATTTTATGAAGCCAGTATTACTCTGATCAAAACCCAGACAAAGACAGTACAAAAAAGAAAACAGAGTGTTTCTTGTGAATGTAGATATAAAACATTGGTGAACAGAACTTGGCAATTTGTAAAAAGAATGATATACCATGCAAGTGGGATTTATTGCAGGGATGCAAGGCTGGCTTAATAGTCAACAATCAATAAATGTAATTCACCATATTAACAGGATAAAGAAGAAAAAATGACACAATCCTATCTATTGATGCAGAAAAACTACTTGACAAAATTCAGTGCCCTTACTTCATGATAAAGACCCTCAGAAAGGAGGGATAGAAGTTAACTTCTTCAACTTGAGGAAGAGCATCAACACACAAACAAACAAACAGTTAACATCAGACTTCATGGTGAAAGATTGAATGTTTTCCTGCCAAGATTGAGAACAGGCAAGGATGTCTGCTCCTACCACTGTTATTCTAACAAAGGGAGTTCCAGTCAGTAATATAAGGGGAGAAAATGAAATAAAATGCATCTAGATTGAAAAGAAAGAAAAACTGTCTCCTTTTGCAGATCACATAATGGTCTATACAGAAAACCCACAAAAAATTCTCCTAGGACAGGGCCTCCCTGGTGGCGCAGGTGGTTGAGCCCCACACTGTGAAGCTATCCACAGCCTCTGCAGCGTGGGTTCGATCCTGGCCGTCCCGCAAGAATCCCACATGGCCCAACAGACCTCTCCTGTCTCGCCTGCTGCTCCCCTCAATAGTGTATATCAGTGTCTGCCAGTTCTGTTCCTCACCTGTCTCTGGTGAATCCTCTCACCTGCCGCACCTCTGGCCTGTACCCCAGTTCTTGTATGCATAAATAAATAAATAAATCTTTTTAAAAATAAAACAATATAGAAAGGATTGGCATGATCTCTGAGCATGGATGACATTTATGAAAAAAATCTTAAACCTTAGAACATACACTAAAATTAATTCAAAATAGATCAGACACTGATACTACTGACCACACCCTTCCTCTCAGAGTTTCCTCCCTTAGTATTAAATGTGGCTGGGCAGTGGAGGGAGACAAGAGCGTCTTTGATGAGCTGTGGTGGAAGGCAAGTTTGTGGGAACTGCATACACAGCCAAGATCTATCCTGAAGGGAAGAGCGGAAGGAAGGTCTCAATTTTTGGATAGGGGAGACCTAAAATTTTTCAGGCAGTGGGGATGAAGTCAAAGGAAAGAGATATTAAAGTTGGAAGAGATCAAAGGATTGTTGGAAATGGAAGATCTTGATGGGGTGTGGTGTGGCTCGGTGAGCCTGGTCTTTGACTTGTCAATTTACAAGGTTTATTTGATTTGATCCTGCCAACAACCTCTCAGAAGAAGGCACTGTTGTCTCTATCTCACAGAGGTGGAAGACTCAGAGGAAGCAAACTCTAGAGAGGTTAAGGTCAAAGGCTTGTGTACCAAAGGGATGGGAGTGTCAGGGAGTTTGTCTCCGCTCTGTTCCCGAGAGCTCCAGGGGGCAGCAAGGAGTGAGTGGACATGAGCAGAGTGTGGCAGAAGCCACTGTGGGGATCTGAGACTGAAACAGGAGTGACACAGGAATGGGGGTGACAACCAAGGTCATGACAAGTTAATCCAACCAGGGAGCACCCTTGCAACTCTCCTGATCCTTAGGCATGTGAATAAAATACATTTTCACTTAAACTTAGACAACGGGGGACAAGCCATTATAGTGTTCCCAAGAGCAAAAAAAAGTCTGCCTTTATACTCAGAAAACATCTCATTCTTCAGGATCCAATTCAATTTTCCCCTCCTCTTCAGAGCAGCCTTCCCTGATGCTTCTGCAGCTTCACAGAACTCTCGGCACTGGATCAATTTCCACCTCTGGACTGAGTCCTCCAAAGCAAACCCAGTGGGTGGTTTTCTTTTCTGCCTCCTTGTCCCCAGCATCTAGTACAAACTAGTGAATACATGAACCTAATCAAAATGGCTTAAAGCAATGCACAGTGGGTCAACCCATGCTTGTTATCAGGCTACCTGGCAATACTATGTCCAGAGTAACAATGTCTATGCCTTTTTCATAATAGCAAATCACTGCGAACAGAGCAAAGCAAGTGACGCTTTCTCTCATCCTCATCATTGCATTTTACCTGCACTTGTGGGAAGGCTGTGTCCGGTGATGGAAAGGTCTGGGGATCTACAGAAGAAACACCACTTCACTTTCCTGGACACAGCTGGTCAAGCAGGGTTTTTTGCCAAGTTGATCAGGCTAGAGTACACGTTTACCACCAAGTTCAACACCAAGAAAGATCACGGTGCCTATTCCAGGTAGTGCCCTGCTATGGGTTTTCCTGCTGTTAGGAAAGGCTGGCCCCTGAGGGGTAGGGGTGGCTGCTACTAGGGAACAGACAGGTGGCTCGGAGTGAGCCCCATCCCCTTACACAGCAACAGTTGTTCCCCATGAACATCTGTGCCCTGCCAGGTCCATTCCAACCTCTGGGGAAAGGGTCCCTCCCAGACTGGAAGGCACTGGGCAGAGGGGTGTAGGGAGGAGTCAGACAGGAAGATGGACAGTCACAGCCGCGCGCATGGTCTGAAACTAGATGAAAGCTAGACATGTATCAGGAGAACCTTGGCCCTAAAAATGGAAAACTGGAGTTTTAACATACAATAATCAGGAAATAAGAACGGTTCTCATGTGATGGAGATGGTCACTCTGGCCAAGGAAGTCTGGAAGGACTGAGAGAAGCATTTTTTTCTGTCTTACTAGAAGGCCAAGAGCAGGTGTGGACACACAGGAGACCGGCTTGAGAAGAGGGACTTGGTGGTGGTGGCAGGGGTTGCTGGAGAAGACACACACCTCGTCCTCTGCAGATATAGAACCTCATCTTTACAAGCCACTTGTAAGGGGAAAATAGAAATAGTTATGCTGGGGAATTGCAGCATACTCATTATGTTAGTGCTGTAAGTGAGAAGGTTGACTTGCTTGTTAACCTATAACATGTATCATAGCACACCTGGGAGGTGGAGAATCTGGAAGGGGCTGTGATGATCACTTACCGGGGGTTCTTGTCTGGGCTTTGATGCTGGAATCAAAAGTCAAGTGTCTTCCATGGAAATAAGAGCAACATTCTTAGCAAAGCGCCTGGCCCTTTATGTGCATTTAACCCATACAGCAGCCCCAAGAAGTAGGAACAAAGTACAAAGGATTAGCCCCATTTTGAGAGGAGGAAACAGGTTTTTAAAATAACTGGTATGGAACTAAGGTCTCCCAACTCCGGGGGAAGGATGGGCTTCATACCAGGCCTGTAGGACTTAACGGAAAAGCTGCCAAAGTTAATCTGGGTAGAAAAGTTACAGGTGATTTTTATATTCTTCAGGGTTTTCTGTATTTTTCAAATTTGATACAATAAACCTGTATTATCTTTTAATAAAAAAAGTTAAGAAATTTCTTTTTTTTTTTTAAGCTGTTAAGACGCCAGAAGGAATCCAACAGAACCCTTCATTCACCAGGGTCAGTTCCTCCTCTGCCATCTCTTTGGGAAGAGATGAAATCAGGCGGAGGAGACAGAGCTGCTTGACCCAGCTGGCCCAGTGAACCCCCTGCTTCTCTAGAACCTGGGGTGGCCAACATGGCTCCACCTGTCTCTTTCTACTCCCTGGCTGGAAATCCCTGAAAGTTGACCTGTCTCTGCAGTGGCTGTGCTCCATACAAAACCAGGAGTCCTGGAACCTCTCTGGGCTTGTCTTAGAAATGCAGGCTAGACGGCACAGCTAGAACCACCTGAGAGGGAATTCGGGGAAGGCCCCGCTCATGCAGCTGACAATAGTGAGCATGTAACACAGACCAGGCCTTCCCTGAGCCGAGCATATATTTTCCCTAATTCGACCCTGACAGTGTCCTGTCGGGGTGACATTGCTGCCCCCATTTTACTGTATAGAAACTGAGGCTCAGAAAAGTTGAAGGAACTTCAAGGTCACATGAGGGTTGGTGACAGAGTAGACTGGAAGCCAGACAGTTGTCTTTAGAGTTGTTGTGGATGAATATTTGTGTTCTTTCCAGGATCACATGTTGAAGCCCTAACCTCCCTTGTGGCTGCATTAGGAGATGGAGCCACGGAGGAAGATTTAAAGGGTAAAGGAGGTCACAGGGTGGAGTCTGGGTCTCACAGGATCTGTGTCCTTAATGACAGGAAGACACTGGAGGGTTTGAGCCCTGTCCCCCA